ATGACTTAAGTATGGAATAGAATGCAAAATTTGCTTCAATTTTTAATATAAGGATAGAGATCTCAAAGAAATTTCATACTGTTGACAGCTGCTTCAGGTTGTGCCCTTAGTTTCCCAGGGTAATATTTTCTCTTTCTAGTCTTAGGGTTTTTTCAATGGAAAAGCTGAAGATGCTGTAACCTAGATTGTATTAAACTTGAACCACCACCCTTTGCCCATCATTGGAGGCCCCCTAATCCTGACCCATTTTTCTCTGATGATCTCCTATCACCCACACTGAGACCCTGGCCAAGCTAGGCTCCTTGTTGCCCTCTGAACTTCATTCCCAATTCTGCCCCTTCTCTGCCTCCCCAATTCCCAGCTCAGCCATGAGCTACAACCTCTGAGCCCCAGAAGATGATACCACCTTACGTGGGCTTCCATTTCTCCAATCTCCCTTAATCTAAGTATCAGACCCATGCAGCCCATCATTTCATCTTATGCTGTTTGCCTCCCAAGACTGCAGGCTACTAGAAATTAGGGTCTATGTCTTACCAGTCTTGGGGATCTGTCTTAGCACCTAACACTTGCTAGAGGAAAGAAGGAAGAGGCGGGAAGGAAGGATATGGAGGCTGCATCAAGTCATCACTGCCTCTACCTGAGTCTTAAGGTTTCTTCTTGGAGCTGTGAGCTTTGTCTACAGCTGTCTTAATTTGCTCCCATTTGTCACTGTAGTTCAGGAGACCAGACAGTTTGGGTGATCAACATCACTAATGAACATGAAGCCAATGTGCACTTAAGGGCCTCACTTCAGTGTCAGGTTTATCAGGTGGTTTTAGGGCCCTGGTTTACACCTGTTTGCCAGCTTGCTGCTTGCTGAGCTGAGCCACAGTATTGCAACTCTATCCCTCTTATATTTCTCTTCATTCAGTTCCTGCAAGAGGAAGTTCTTTTCCCATTTAGGTTCCAGGGTATGCCTCCTGGAATTGTTATTGCAACTTCTTGAGGGCTCTCTGGCTGTGGCCCTGGTTCACCCCTTTGGCTTTAGGACAAAAGTGGGTACACATGGCAGTTGCCCTCTTGCCATGAATTTGTGTCCCTGGAAACCATGGCCTCCCCACTATGGCCTCTCTGGCCTGTGATAGTCTCGTAATATATCTTGGATATTTTGATCTTGCTGCAGTCCGTAACAGCTTCCTGTAATTCCAGCCTTTACTTCAGAATCGAAGCATACCTGTAGGTTCTCTCTTCTCCCAAGGGCTGGGATTGCCACCTTGACACCACTGGGGCCTGGGCCATGCATCCCCTGCAGGGAGTGTCAGAAAGGCTTGCGGTGGGGCAAGAAGCCCCTTCCAGAGCTGGTCTCAGCAACACTGTTATCTCTTGACTCTCTTTGGCCCTGCCTGGTATTTCTCACCAGCATTAACCAAACCTGTACTCTAAGACCTACTGCTTGTCCCTGTCCACTGAGTGAGGTAAACTTCCTGGCCTCAGATCCAACTCCCCAGCTTCCTGACCTCCAGCAGTTTGGGGGAGCTTAATCCTCAGCCAGCTTGTCTCCAGCTCAGACAACCATTTGACACCCCCAGCCTCTGCCTGACCAGCCCACCCGGATACAAGTCTGCTAGAGGCCTGTGCCCCGACTCGCTCGCTCTCTATTACCTGCCCGGCTTTAGTGTTCTTGCCTTTCCAGTTTCACAATCAGAGCCCTTCTCAGCCTCATCCCCTCTATCTTCTATTACTAATCCAGTCAGGAGCTTGAGGCTTTATTTTTTTCTTTTACCAGTCCCTGGTCCCCAAAGTGGCTCCCAGCTTCGGTTATCCTAACCCATTTTGCCATTACCTTATCGACCGGGCTCTCTTTTGTGTTCAGGACAGAGTGCTCACAACACACATTTGCATCCCTCTCTAAAATGCAGCATACTGCATTTTAGAAATTCTTCACTGGGAGATACAGAGTCTAGGGAGGTGAACCACTCAAGCAAGGGCAGAGACAAGGATGAGATCTATTTACCACTCTACCTTCTGTGCCTAACTCAATGTCCAGCTCATAGACACTGCCAAATTAATGTCTCTTCAATGAATGAGGGAAAAAATACTTGAATAGAGTTGTACTTCTATCCATTTTTCATATCATATTTTATTTTAACCTTATAACAATACCGAAGGTAGGTAGGGAAGAGATTATGATCTTGCTTTTAGAGCTGAAAAAAAGATGCTCACAGAGGTAGTTTTTCAATTAGTAAGCTGGGAAGCCATGACATGAATGTAGGTATTTTGACTCCAAACCTAACTTCTTTGGGCTACATCAGATTCCTTTCCTAAGGGGCCTGGGCAGTTTCTCTCCCCCATCCCCATCTCATCCTCTTTCTCCAGCATTCTCTTGCCATCTCCCCACTCAGCTGCACAGGCTCTCCCCAGCAGCCACTGAGTGTAGACCACTCCCCTGACCCCTTTGGCCTCCTCCTCCCCTGAGACTGAGAGCTGAGATTCAGAGGGGCCACGAAGGGGAGGGAATAGAGTAATGGCTCGCTCCAAAACAGCCAAGGCAGCTGTCCCTGTCACAGAGAAAGGAGACTGTGTGATGGTGTGTGTCTGTCTGCCTGAATGTGGCAGCACATGTGTGGGAGAGTGTGTGTTTGTATGCCTCTAGCTGCAAGTCCAAGTGCTTATTTTGTCTGAGTGGGGGCCCGTGTGTGTCTGCATGTGTGTCTGTCTGTCTCTGGGAACATACAGCCTGAATTCTGCTTTCTGGGTCTCAGCCTCCGCCTCATCATTTACTTTGGCTCTTATCTCTCCTCACCCTACCTTCCTCTGCTGAAATAAAGGGTGAAACCAAGACACAGGTATGGAATGCTGGGGGAAGTGCAGTTTAGAAAATTAGAAGTCTGGAGCCAAAGCAGACTGGAAAGATTAATGGCAATGGTGAGATTTAGCTTCCCTTATAGGCAAACCCTACTGTCTCTCTTTTTCCAACTCTGTGTTGCTGCTATGGCCTCTGGAGAAGTCAGGGGCATGGTTTGCATTTTGAGGGCATCTTTTTTTAAATATATTTTTTATTTTCTTATTTTTATTAAATTTATTGGGGTAACGTTGGTTAATAACATATAACTTTCAGTTGTACAACTTTATAACATGACATCTGTATACTCTTACGTGCTCACCCGAAGTCTAGTCTCTTCTGTCACCGTGTACTTGACTCCCTTTATCTTCTTTGTCCTCTTGGGTATGAAGTTCAGAGAGGACTTCAGAGCACCCCTTTTTCCAGCTCTCAATTCTAAGCCCTCCCAGCTATTTTGGAAGAGCTACTAGTCAAGGCTGCCACAGGTCCCTTCCAGTGGCATCTTCCTTCCATTGGAACATTGTTGAGTCAACCCCAAACCTTTGACTCCTGACCTCAGACCTGGAAGGGGAGGTAAGCTGAGCACCCCCGCCCATGGCCTGACTTCACTCCTTCCTTCCCAGGTTCCCTTCAGCCCTGCCTCTTTAACCCTAGAAAAATGTCCCAGGTCTAGTCCCCTCTGCCTGTGGAAAGAATAGGGACTGTTTCTCAACCTCCTGCCTTGACCTCTGTTCCAGCCCAATCTTGCTTGAGAGGTGAGGGCAGGGGGCAGCTGTCATCTCTGAGCTGGATGAAGGGGGCATTACCATGTGCAAATAAAGGCCACTGCCCATCTGTGCCTTCCTGAGAAAGGCTCCTAATAAATTCAGAGCAGCCGAGTGACACACATCTTAATCTAGCTAATCTACCACATTAACGCCACTTTGCACAGCCTGCATTAAGTCCCTGTTAATAGGGAGACAGATGGACCCTTCCACCCAGATCTTCACCCGTGTTCCTCTGTCCCTAGACTCCTTTGGTTTTCCTCTGACCAAGAAACCACCAGAATTCTTTAGGCCCACTAGTGTACCTTTCCTTTCCTCCTACCAGAGGGGGCCTAGGAGAGCCAGCAGGGAAGAGGAACCTGCAGGGGAGACTTAGGCAAGGCTAGGAAGTAAGTTAGGATAGAAAGTTAAGGGTAACAAGGTGAGTTTAAGAAGCCCACATCTACTGCCTGGGGTGAGCCTGGTAGAGGCCATGTATGAGAGCTGAACAATGACTGGTAGGATGCGATATGTCTGGACAGGCACAGAAGCAGACGGGGCTAGAATGCCTAAGTGATTTTCAAACCTGCTTTTGATTCTGAAACTCTATTCAAATGAAATCTCTCCAGAAAGTATAAACAAAACAACAAAAGCAGGGCTGCCCTAGTTGAAGCAGACCCAAGCAAGGCTAGCCCTGAGTTCCAGTCCCTGAGGGGATTTCTGTGTAGGGCCCCAACGAACACAATTGGAAAAAGCCAATGAAGAAAAAGCATTAGCTTAGGAGTCTCCCACACGTGGTTCAGATCCCAGTGCCTCTTACAAGCTCTGTGACCTTAATCGTTATTTCAAGTCTGTTTCCTCACACGAAAAAGGTGATAATACTTAATATTGATGAATTCTTATGAAGGGAGAATTAATGAGGTGAAGACACACAGTAAGTACTCATAAATGATAGCAGTGATTATCCTTAAGGGAAAAATATCAGGCCTGTTTCAAAATAAAATCTGTACTCTGAAGAGTGAATAACAGAGGTTCTGGCTGTGTCTCAGATGTGATTGACTGAGGGGCATGGATAAATTTATGGGAATTTTGGGCATTCATGTTAGAGGGAACAAGTTTTTGAGGTTGTGGTATATGGCATGTGGCATGCAAGTGTGGTTTTCATAAATTCAATAAATATCTGTTGAACGACAACTGTGCTCCAGGCAGGCAGAGTTCTATCAGTGAACAAAACATAATGTGTAGATATGCTTATAAAACCTTTTTCTCGTTAGGCTGCTGTTTCCCCATTCTGTCTGTCCCAGGGCACCCCAGCACAGGAGTAGCTTTATGTTGGTGGCTGAGAAAGGGGACAGTGAACCTGGGAACCTGATAACCTGGAGATTTTAACCCCATTAACCTGGTCTGTGTCTCCTCTTCTCTCCAGTCTTCCCTCCATGGAGTTTGGCCTGCTCAGCGAGGCGGAGGCCCGGAGCCCGGCCCTGTCTCTGTCAGATGCAGGCACTCCCCACCCGCCACTCCCAGAACACGGCTGCAAGGGCCAAGAACACAGCGGTGAGCGCACCCCCTTCTGGGCGTGGGGGAGATAACAGCTCAATCTCTGATAGGGGTGGGGTCCGAGTGCGAGTGAGGGGCAGGTGGAGGAGCAACCCCAGCCGGGGAATCCCCCTGACCTGCCCCCACCCGGCCCCCAGACTCGGAGAAGGCCTCGGCTTCGCTGCCCGGCGGCTCCCCTGAAGACGGCTCGCTGAAGAAGAAGCAGCGGCGGCAGCGTACGCACTTCACCAGCCAGCAGCTGCAGGAGCTGGAGGCGACCTTCCAGAGGAACCGCTACCCTGACATGAGTACGCGCGAAGAGATCGCCGTGTGGACCAACCTCACCGAGGCCCGCGTGCGGGTACAGCGCATCTAGACCTGTAACTCTCACCCCACCCAGGCCCACTCTCGCGGGCCACTTAGCGACTAGCTTCGGAACCTGCAGCCTGAGGTTCTGCCCTGCCTGCCCCATCCTTGGACCCGACACAGCTTCCCCGGCCCCGGTCTGCAGCCCCACACAGGGCTTACTCCACACTATCACTTTAGGCCGTGTGTTTCTTTTCTCCTGACACTGTCACTTCTTCTCGTCACCCCTCCTTGATCCTCGCCCCCCGCACACCCTGTAGCTCTTGTTTCTGCCGCCCACTCTTTCTGTTCTCAGCTTCCTGACTCCGTGCGCACCACCGCGACCTGCATTCCCATTTCTAGTCACCTTATCCTGTTTATCCCTCGCACGGCCGGGGCCCTGGCTTGAACCCCTGTCTAGGTGACCCACCCACCAGCCGCGCTGACTCGGTCCCGGACTCCGGCTCGGCTCTGGTCCCTGACAGCCTTTTCTCCTGCGCCCGCAGGTGTGGTTCAAGAACCGGCGCGCTAAGTGGCGAAAGCGCGAGCGCAGCCAGCAGGCGGAGCTGTGCAAAGGCGGCTTCGCGGCGCCGCTCGGGGGGCTGGTGCCTCCCTACGAGGAGGTGTACCCAGGCTACTCGTACGGCAACTGGCCACCCAAGGCGCTCGGCCCGCCGCTCACTGCCAAAACCTTCCCATTCGCCTTCAACTCGGTCAACGTGGGGCCTCTGGCTTCCCAGCCGGTCTTCTCGCCACCCAGCTCCATCGCTGCCTCCATGGTGCCCTCCGCCGCGGCCTCCCCGGGCACCGTGCCGGGGCCCGGGGCTCTACAGGGCCTGGGAGGGGGGCCCCCCGGGCTTGCTCCGGCCGCAGTGTCCTCCGGGGCAGTGTCCTGCCCTTACGCCTCGGCCGCCGCAGCAGCTGCTGCAGCCGCCTCCTCCCCCTACGTATATCGGGACCCATGTAACTCGAGTCTGGCCAGCTTGAGGCTGAAGGCCAAACAGCACGCCTCATTCAGCTATCCTACTGTGCCAGGGCCAACCCCGGCCGCCAATCTCAGTCCATGCCAGTACGCTGTGGAACGGCCTGTATGAGTGGCCCGGCCCGTCGATCACCCCCGAGGGCGGGGGTGATAGTTCACAGCCTTCCCGGACTGGGGTCGTCTTGACTGGCTTACCCCTACCCCGGGGTCTGAGATGGATGCTGGGGCAGCTAGTGGAGGGGCGGCCGGCTCAGGAGAGAGCCTTCCGCCTCCCAGCCCTGAGGGGTGGACTAGACCCTACACACAGTCCGCAGCCCTGGGCCTAAGGCCAAGAACAGGGACCAGTTCCCCGGGGGCCAACTCACCCTTGGCCCACTCCGCCTTCTCCAGATTCCCTCTCCCCCATTTATCATTTCAAGATAAATGAAATAAACATGCGCGGACTGTCAAAGGCTTGATGATTCAGAGTTGCAGTTGAACCCTCTCCCCTCGTACTCCCCCATGTCCAAAGAGAGCTGAGTGTACAGGAAAAACGTGAGGGTTTCTGGGCCTCAGTTCCCCTCAGCCGCTAACACCAGAATGGGGAAGCCGGGAGATTCCTGGAGCAGAGGGACGCTCGCGTGCGTCTGTTTGTATGGACCGCTTGCGGACGATTAGCTACTTGGCCAAAGCTGGTGTTACAGCGCCACACTGTGGTCCCAGGGAGGATAACTGGAAGGTCTGGTTGGCAACGCCTACTTGTCATTTCTGCAACTTAGGAAGCCTAAGACCTTAGAAAAGTTACTCTGCCTTTATGCACCTATTTCAAACTGTTCCAATGAGGGGCTTGGGCCTCTAACAGCAATAAAATTGTGGTCTGTAACAGACATTTATTAAGTGCCTACCAGGCCTAGGATTCTTATTGAGTGTCTGTGTGTGCACCCTCTTAGGCTTCTCACCTACTGATCATCTCACTGCCAGCAGCCTTCTCCCACAGCAACAGACCCCTTCTTCCCATAAATCCCCAAAACTCGAAAATATTGTTGAAATATTTAATTTAAAAACAGAGCAAGAAGAAGAAAGGTTTCTGTATAGAAATATAAATAACCTAGCTCTGGGAATCCTTCTCAGTCCCACTTCCACCCTAGTGACTGCTTGGCCTTCACATTAAAAATAGAAATATAATAAAAGTACTAGATCACATTCCCCTCCCAGGGTGGTGTTTCTTGTCTGTCATAACTTCCTGCCACCTTGAGGCACACATCCTGTGGGGAAACCATGCAGGAAAGGCATTGTAATCATTCTCCCAAAACTAAGCCCATCCCCTCAGTACCCTGGGGAGTAGAGAGCCTGGGGCTTCTTCTTTTTCTCCAACACTTTACTCCCTCTTGGTCTTGGCTTTGACCTTGGGCATTATGTAGGCTTGGTAGAAGAAAATGGAAAAGAGGATTAAATAACTTATATAAATGAGGAAGGACCAGAAGAAGAGGTCCATTGTGGTGTGGCATCCCTGTTCCTGTCTCCAGATGTAAGAAAGGCTGATGACAGTGACTCCTATAAACATCTGTAGGATCTGCAGGGTGGTGATGAGCCTGGGAAACCACCAGGATAACTTCACTTTGGCAGCCTTCAGAGCGTAGTAGGTGTACATGATGGAATGCACACCAAAGTTGAGGGTCATGAACCAGCCACCTGCATTTATCTTGTACTTGAATGCAATGCTCGAGAACACTAGTACTGTGCTGTGGTGGTACCAGTGCACAAAGATGAGTGGCCGCTTACGCAGGATGATGAAGGCCGTGTCTCCTGGGAGATGGAGAGTTATAGCTTGCATACTACCCATTATTAGGACTACCTTCTGCATTGAATGTGGGAACACAGAGGGAATTCTCCGGGTGGGGAGAGGGGTCTTTGTGGCAGGGAATCTGAAGAGGGGCTTGGGTGAGAGGTGTTAGGACCCTGGGGTGGGGAAGGGACTCTCCAGATGATGGGTGAGGGGAGCCCTGAGGAGGGGTGCAGTTGACTGGGTACTAGAGAGACAAAGCCTGGCCACTCACCAAATTCAATGATCTTGCTGAGAACAAAGACAGAGGACCAGAATCGGACTACAGGATCGGTGGTGAAACTGGAGAAGCACATAGTATCCTTTAGGCCTCTCCTATGTACCAGCATCCCCATATAGCCCCATGTCCTCACTGCTCCCACGATACTGAAATGGGACAGAGAAAAAGGGTGTAAGGTCATTCCCAGACACAAATCCACCCTTCGCCCTCGGCCTGGTCAGGTCACTGTCCTAAGCTCTGCCACTTCCCCATCCTTCCAGAGGTCACAGCTTCTGAGATCCTTGGGCCAGTCTGTTAGATCCAAGCAGTAATCTAGAGGAGATGAGGGCTGGAGAAGGATCGAGAAATGCTGGAAGATGGGATCGAAAGTTGAGTTAGGAAATAGAGTTCTTGGGATGAATAGGAGCCTATGAGGAGATGATCGGCAGGATGGGGGAGATCGAAGTTTTGGGGAGGAAATATGGGAAGCAGGGGCTGGGGAAGTTATTGGAGGGTCTTGGGAGAGGGTGTTAGAGTCTGGAGAAATTTATTAGAAGCACACAGACTCCATGAGCACAAGAAGACTCATGAGAGAGAGCAGAAACTGCCAGTTTGAAGCCTGGGGGAGGAGGAGGGTACATGCTGGGGATGGGGGAGGAGAGCTAGAGCTGAGAGAATGGGATAAGGAGAGAGTTGTGGGAAACTGGGAGTTGACGTGATTGAGGTTTCTGGAAAGCTTTCAAAGATAGAGTGAGGGTCTAAAGTCTACAGGATAGGTGAGGAGTCTTACCTGAAGATTGCAAGGCAGAAGGACCAAAGGATGAGAGGCCCCTGCAGGTTGAAGCCCTTCTGTGCCTTCATGTAGTTCTGCCCCACAAAGATGAGCAGCAAGTAGATCAGAGCTATCGGAATTGAGATTGACCTGGCAGGCAGAAGGCAGAGGGGATGGGCTCATGGGTGGGTGCTGGTTAGAGGAATGCTTATTCATCTCGCCAGGTTAGTGCTCTGGGTTAGTGCTCGCCGGGTTAGTGCTCCGGACGGAACGGGCAGGAACCGAAGAAGTCCCAGCTCTGCCATCTACTAGCTGTGGGACATTGGAAAACCTACTTAGTTCTCTGAGCCTCAGTTTCCTTATTTGAAAAGGGGGAATAACACTCTTCTCCTGACAGTGTTAACGTGTAAAGTACCTAGCACATGGCAGGGGCTATGGCCAAGGTTTCTGTTATTATCGCTCTCTCACTGGGGCCAGAAGTGGGTGACAGGTGCTGGTCCATGCCTAAAACCAACGCAGGATGTAAGAAGAGTGTGGCAATAGCTTTCACCTAATTGGGTCATGGCAAATTGGCTGGAGCATAAAGTCAGCCCACAAACACCTCTGAGGAACATTACAGTAGGAGTTCAAATAGACATCATTCCTCAGAGACCAGTTCTCAAGTTCCCCTTGGTTTCTGTCTTCTCCCATACTCCTCACCCCATCCTTTCATTTCTGCCTTTCTCTCTCCCTTCCCTTTTTCTTTCTTTTCCTCTTTCTCTTTCTCCATCTTTCTTTCCTTCTTTCTTCCTTCCAGACCTAATCTCTTTAAGGTATCACATTACCTGTACCTTCGACAATGGGGGTGTGGAGTCAGTACAAAGAACCTAATACCTTTATTTTTTTAAGAAAATCATTGCAGTCAGTATCTCCTCCCACTCCTCAAATTGTGGTCATTAGGACCCGGCCCCTGGCACGACCCTTCCCCAGCGACAGGTCTCACCAGTACTCCTCCAAAAAGAGGCTTAAGTTCGAAAATAGCTCGAAGTTGTAGGGCTGAAGCAGGTACTCTGTTCTGTCTGAGCCGTTCATGACTGTGCCCATTTCGTTCTGCAGATGTCAAGGTTGGTTGGGAGCTTGGGGAGCTGAGCGAGAGACTTGGGGACGGAAGATGGAGCGAACCCTGGGGTAGGACGGAACGGGCAGGAACCGAAGAACTCCGCGGAAAGTCGAGGAGCGTCAGACTCAGGCACATGCGCTACAGTCCTGCACCATTCCACCGCCGCGGCCACTGCTGTAGATAACGCAGAATCTCAAAGCGACAGGTCCAGATGGCGCGCGGCCATTATCTAATCTCAACCAAGACACGCCCCTGTCCCGAAGCACGACCTCTGATTGGTCATTCGAACACTCCCCAAATGCCCGTCCTAAGCCTTCGCCACACCCTTTCCATCTTTTTCTCCCCCAACACCTCCACTCCTATTTGCTTGGCTTAGCCTCTGTAGCCTTGCCAGGCACCAGGACGTGCCCGTCTTTGCCTGGCACGGACAACCTCAGCTTTTGCTTAAGTTTGCGCGATTCTTGACCTACTTAACAGTGAGGAGAGAGTGGAGGTGCCCTTAGCCTCTGGAACCCGGACCCAGAGATGCGGGTGTCAGTTTCCCCCTTCCCTGAGACCCTGGGAAAGCCAGGCCAAGGTTGAGGATGAATCAGGCTGGGGAAGCAGCAGCAAAGAGCCTCTCACATAGTCCCATCTGTCTCCTTCAGGTCTGTGGTTGTGCGTGGGAGCGAGATGAATTTTAATGAATTTTATTGTTGAGGTTATTGATGTTGGTGTTTGGGGAGATGGTTGTTGAGGCTGTTGTATTTCTTTACGATTTCATGTATTCCTGAACTGCTCCAGCCTGACACCCAGTAGTAACTCTGGGGAGGAAATGGGGTCACCCTCTGAGCTTCTGGGATTATTGTTTTCAGGACAGTAGGGTTTACATCTCCCCAGTGTCCTGTTCTCTCCCTCAGTCTGTGCTTGTTTGATCATATCTACTTTTTCCTTGCCTGTGTATTCAGCCCCAAAGAAATATTTCAAAACTTTTAAGGCCTTATTTGTCGGTCTCTTATTTGTCTCCTAGGTTGTATGAAAGTGAGGGAGAAATACAAGGCCCGTCATCAGCTGGAGATTTGCAAAACAAGGGCTAAGAGAAATAAATATAAAATACTGAAAATCAAGATGTGACTATAAGTGGCTTTTTGCAATAAAGCCCACAGGCTCTGGAGTCAGAGTACCCAGGTAGGAATCCCAGTTCCACTTCCTTGAACATCAGCCACTGTCCAGGGAAGGGTCGAGTGAGAAGTCCTGTCCATGCTATCTAAATGATTCTCAAGTGCATTCTTTGTCTCTGTACCTCATCGCCTCTCACCTGGTTACTATATCCACTATCTTAGTCATGTTAACTGATTGTATCACCTCCTTCTCTCTCTTTATTGCAATGCAACCAGAAAAAAGATTCCCAAACCTGACTGATCTTAAGATTCCTGAGCCCATACCCAGAGATTTTGACCCAGTAGTTGGTCCCAGACCATTCCTTGAAAACCACCACTTTCTGTCCTCTCATCCAGAAGAGAGTTCTAAAACCTAAACTGGATCATGCTACTTCATTTCAATGGTTCTATTTTTTTATTTTTATTTTTTTCAATTATAGGTGACATAAAATATAATATTAGTTTCAGGTGTACAACAGTGATTAGACATTTATATAACTTATGAAGTGATCACCTCAATAAATCCAGTACCTATTTGATACCATACATAGTTATTACAATACTACTGACTTTATTCCCCATGTTATACTCTATATCCCCATGACTATTTTGTAACTACCAATTTGTACCTGTTAATCTCTTCCCCTTTCACCATCCCAATCCAATCTGATAACCATCAAAATGTTGTCTGTATCTATGACCTTTTGTGTTGTTTACCCTGTTCTCTAGAATCCATATGTGACATCTGTCTTTCTCCATCTTACTCCACTCAGCACAATACCTCCTAGGTCCATCCGTGTGTGTGTGTGTGTGTACAAGCATATAAACATATCACCTCTTCTTTATCTATTTATCCACTGATGGACACCCAGGTTGCCTCCATATCTTGGCTACTGTAAATAATGCTGCAATGAACGTATAGATCCACATGTCCCTTTAAAGTAGTGTTTTGGGTTTCTTCAGATAAATACCCAGAAGTGGGATACCTGGGTCCTTCTTTGTCTCTTGATACAGCCTTTGCTTTAAAGTCTATATTGTCTGGTATGAGTATTGCTACCCCAGCTTTTTTGGTTTCCATTTTCATGAAATACCTTTTTAAATCCCTTTACTTTCAGTCTGTGTCTTTCGATCTGAAGTGAGTCTCTTGTAGGCAGCATGTGTCGTTTTCTTATTCGGCCACCCTATCCTTTAATTGGAGCATTTAATCCATTTACATTTAAAGTTCTTGTTGCCAGATATGTACTTATTGCCATTTTATTTTTCATATTTTTGAGCTTTTTCCTTCCTCCTCCTCCTTCCCCTACCCCTCCTCCTCCTCCTCAAAAAAGTTCCTCTAACATTTCCTGTAATACTGGCTTGGTGATGATGAACTCTTAGCTTTTTCTTGTCTGAGAAGCTCTTTATCTGTCACTCTACTAAGACCAGGAGACGTAGCAGCCCTACTGAATACACAGAAACAAATGCATGTAGGCAGCCAAAATGGGAAGACAAAGAAACATGTCTCAAGCGAAAGAACAGAACAAAGCTAAAATAAAAAGAACTAAACAAAATGGAGACAAGCAATCTACTAGATGCAGAGTTTATAACACTCGTTATAAAGATGCTCAATGAACTTAGGGAAGAGTAGATGAACTCTTGCCTGTCTACTTCACAAAGTTGAGGTCAGTATACAAGTCAGATAATGTCAATGAAAGAATATTGTGGACTAGACATAATAGGAATGTCAGGGTGAATCATTGTGGAAGGTTTACAAATGCATATAGAATATGTATAATCAGTCCTGGTTTCTCTGAAATGAAGATATTTGACACAGTTTTTCCTTGTGAAGTTTAATGGTGAGGCTTGGGGCAGGGTGCATGGAAGAGAAGAGAAATCTCCAGAAGTTACTTCCTAGGAGAAAACTTCCCCAACCCTTGACTTGGTCTGGTACCCCTACTATATGTAAATTATTCTCATAACATGGTATTTCTTTCCTTCAATGAGAGTTTATAATTACTTCATTATTTTTATGATTTCTTAATTAATGCCTGTTTCCCCCACTGGTCCTTGAGCTCCATAAATGCAAGGAATATGTCTATTTTGTTCAACATCATTCTCTTAATACTAGGCACATAGTAGGTACTCAGGTAATATTTGTCACATGAATGACTGAAGAATGAAATCCTTAGCCTAAATATGAGTGACACTCTTTGTTTCTCCAGGACAAACACGCCAAGCTTGTGAGGTTTTTTTTTTAATCTCTTGGCCTCAGCTTTCTCATCTATAAAATGGGGATAATATCCACCTTAGAAGCATGTTTATGAGGACCAAAGGAGATCATATATATTAAAGAACATGATACAGTATAAAGTGTTAAGCAAACATCAGTAAGTATTACCCCCAAAAAGTGAATTTGTAGAAATTTCAACTTCTTTTCAATAAAACTCAACTAAATTAACTGAAAAAGAAAGCCATGATCTGGTGACTGGCTGCACAACACCACTATTGAATGGTACACTTAAAAATGGTTAAGATGGTTAATTTTCGTTATTTATATTTGACCACAATTTGAACATTTTTAAAAAGGAAAGCCCATTTCCTTTAAAAAGGAAATGGGAATATAGTTCCAAGTAGGACATATAAAGGGTTAATATGCATACTACATAAAAATCTTATCCTTAGTCCTACTTGGTTCTATCCTGACCCTTGGTAAGTGGCTAAAGATACAGATAGGCTCGTCTTACAGACTCTAGTCTTCCCAAATCTACGTTTTATTAGCTGCCAGAAAGCTCTAAAACACACATTAGCTCATGTCTTTCTTCTTTAAGAACACAAAAATCTTTAGGACTAAGGTCAGATTCCTGAACTTAGCCCTGACTTTTCCTTTCCAATGTCCCATCATCCCTCAGCCCCAGTATGCCACATTTTAGCTATACTGGGTCACAACTTCATAACTCAAGTACTATATTTTTATGTTTTTCAACCCCCTTTACTTCTCTCCATATTATTCCCTCTTCTCCCCAGACATCTTTTCCTCACCTGTACAAACTACCCATTGTTTGGCCCAGCTCTAAAGTCATTTGCCCTGAAAAGGCCTAATCTGTTTTAGACAGGGTCAACCCTTTCCTACTTTGTCTTCTACCCACAGGACATTGCCAAACTGCCTGCCACTACTGTGCTTCTACCAACTGAGTACAGTCAGTCACATATTTTCTACACTATCCTGGCTCCGCCACCCTATTTCAAAAGGTCATTTTTGTTAGGTCACTCATCCCTGAGAGAAGCACAGCACTTGGCACACAATGGGCATTCAAAATATGTCTGTTGCTTTGAACTGAATAGGCACCAAAGAGGAAATACAAACAATAAACATATAATATATGTGTGTGTGTGTGTGTGTGTGTGTGTATGACTCAATTTCCTTAGTAATTAGGGAAATGCAAATTAAAGACTGTATGTATAGTATAGTCCTAATTAACAGCCATTAAACCTTGTAAAAATTAAATACCCGACGCTGGTGAAACCTATGGGAAACAGATACATTCACACCTGGATAGTGGCCAAGTAAATTGACATGATCCTTCAAGAAGTACATTTAAGTAACAGCAGAACCAACTGGTATTCCTTGACCTAGTCCTTCACCTTAGAGATTTAAAACCCAGTGAAATAGGCCAAAAGAGAAACTCTGTATGTACTAAAATACTTAAGTTGGTGTGACTTAAATAATAAGAGAACTGAAAACAACCTACTAATAAATGATTAAATATTAAATACTAATATTACAGAACAGCTTGCAGCTAACAGTACATGACGAAACATGCAACCATGTTTGTAAAATAATGTGAAAGAAAAACAATATTTAAAGCTGTACCTATCCCATTATCCCAGTTATCTAAGTGATGATGTCTCTAAAGGTTAAAATTGAAAAGTAACATGAAATTGTGAAATCATTTGCTAGGGTAGGTGAAATTATAGGAAATAATCGAAAGTATTTTAAGTTTTCTTTCATGATATTTTTAAACTGATGTAATAACATTCTGGAATGCTATTCATCTAGGGAATAAAGCTTTTGATGACATAGGAAATGCTCAGGATATA